CACACACACACACACACACACACACACACACACAGCTACTATTTATGTAACACCTAGAAAATATTTTTCCTACTTCTAAAATTCATATTAATAACAATACCCAAGTTAAAGAGGTACGCTGATCTCAAAATTCACTGTTACCAATTTAAAAGCATATTTAATAAAACTTAAGACAGAAAGGTTTTCAGGTATTTTATGCTTAGAATATAGACAGCTCGTTTCAGAGCTAGTATACACATATGAAATTTGCCTAACCCAAGTTGCTCTTCTGAACTAAGATGGATATAATCAGGTCTGAATCTGGCCCTTCTTTCACTGTTTTACTCTATAGAAGAGAACAAATACTTCAATGCTTCTGGGCTTTGGAAGCTTTAACATATGAAACCTGCAGGTATTTTTAAAGCACATGATACATATGTAGGAAAAAAAAATGGTTAAATGCATTTCAGGTTAAGGACAAGATGCGATATAATGCCAATTATATTGTCACAATTATCTGTTAAGAAGTTACTTTCAAGAAAGAGTTGTGAATATCAATCTAAACCTTTGTCCGTGAAAGAAGGAATCATGAAAGAAAAGCTAAATATGAAGAACTGAGTATTTTAACGCAAGTAAACAAAAGAGAATTTAAGTTAACTGGAGTTTTCCTGGTATTTTAAGAAATATATTTTGTCAGTAACATGGCTCAATTGATACAGGAGGCCTTCTACTGAGATCTGTTTTCATCCGATTTTCAACTTGGGTTAACTAAGGCTTAAAGAGGACAGTGCCACTTCCTTGAAGCCACACAGACAGACTGCAGTTCTTAATGGATTAGCGTCCAATAATATACAAGGCTCAGAGTTTGTTGCTACAACTAAAATAAATTACAGTAATAATTTACTGTTATTTCTACAGAGGAGTAAAGAGTCAGGAAAGAAAGAGTTTCACTGTGAGCAGATCAACAAAGTCCTACTTATTCAACTTGCTGGGTTGATCAACGAGTGTTATGTTGCGTTATCTAAGGGTTAGGACATAACGCCAAATACCACTTTATAAACTGCTAACTTTTCTCACGTTACTCTGCAATATTATGTTCAGTTCTAGTTCACCCCCTCCCTCAAAAAGCAAATAACACGAATAGAAAGGATTCAGAAAAAAAAGGCAACAAAAATCCTTAGATATATGGCAAGACTTTGACACAAGGGAGATGAAAAAATTAGGCTTTTTTAACAGAGAGAGGAGAAGCATAAGATAGGACCACAGGAGAGATGTTGCTTCACCAGCAAACCTAGAGTAGCTGGACACACCAGCTTGCCCATTATCGTTAGCATTTGGCCAGCTTTAAGCAGCCATCAACACTTACCAGAATAGTGGATGTTTTACCACCTTCCAAAGTAATTTCCAAGTCAGAAAGGGCAGCATCTACTTCATCCACTTCTTTGTCACTGTTGTTCAAGTGATTTTCTGAGGACATGATTGACAGCTTGTTGATGTGATACTGAAAGAGAAGTTACAAAACTTGAACTGCCTTTAAAAATACAGAATTTAAAAACAATAGAAAAGAACGCCACTTCTATGACCCAACAGGAATTGCATATTCACAGTCATCGCACTTAAACACTTTTATGGTCAAAGCAAACAAAACCCATGGTATTATAGCATGTATGGGGAAATCATACTTGTGAATGATCACAGCAACAGCAGTCAGAGAAACGCCTGGTGATCCATTTACTTGGGTGTTGTGCCATTCCAAATGTTAGTAACCACAAGATAACGTGTGTTAGTACCCTGTACCCTGACTGATCACATAAAGGTCTAGCAGCTGTACTGAAGAGTCCTCCGCTTCAACTGATACCAGTAACAACTTCCATCTCCAGCTGTACAGTAAATTTTACATGTGGAGATCTCAAGCATAGGGATACAAGATGGGATTTCAGAAGTATTTACCATGAGCCTAGCTAAGATAATGGAAGTCAACTGGGGATTTGATCGTCAACTTCAAAGGGAACAGAATAACCTCGAAGCTGAGCACTTCTGAACACAGTGGGGTGTTCAGAAGTGCTCAGCTTCGTGCTTATCCAATGCTGCACCATGTAGAGACATCCAAGCCAGATGAGCACCAGAAACAATTTAGCCATGCCAGCACAGTGCTTCTCTGGAGCTAATTAGCTCTGCTTCTTATCAGTGTAAATTAGCCTGGTGGACTGCTGCACAAATATGACTATGCTGCTTCTAGTGAAGTAGCTCATCTCTTCACAGCATTGCACTGGACAGGGCAGACACACCCCAAGTTCCTTGTCCAAGATGACACACACAGTGACTATATAATGTGACTGAAGCCAGAATAGAAACCAGATTTGAGTCCTATTCCAGTGCCTTAGTCATAAACCTATCCTTTCCTACTGAGTTTATAACAGACGCAGGATTTATATTGGGTCTGATTGTCCCAGACTCTGACTTGCATTAAAACAAGTGCAGGACAGCTATTTACACACACGGTTTGAATGGCAATTAACTCAAATTACCCCATTTCTCCCCATTGTCCTGGAGAGAGTGTTTTTGGTACTTCACAGACACTTGAAGCAGGACAATGGGCTTTTGGTTCTGTAGGTTCCCAGAATAGAAGGTTTTGTCCACGGAGAAATGCAACGCCTGTTTTTAGCCTACCAAATTAATGACATATTTAGCTTTACAATGTTTGATGAACAAAGAACTGCTGAGGACCTCATGCTTGTTAGGGGCATAAGATAGCGTAAAACTGTCTTTATGTGACCATATAAAACTTATCTTCCTATAAGGAAGGAACCCTTCAACAGTGTTGGTGAAACCAATTCAGCTGATTCTTATCCCTTCCAGCTCAGCATGTGACCAAACATGTCAGAAAACACTTCTTTCAGAGTTGCTCGGGCAGCTTTGTCTTATGATTTCTGGGAGGTCTTCCCCAGATACACTATAGGATACACTCTGTAATAAGGACAGATGACCTGGCTGCCTCTCTGAATTAGCTTATAACACAGGTGGCCAACATGCCACAAGTGGCATCTCTGTGTCTATGATAGGACAGACTGGGGAGGGGGCATGCAACACAGTGGCAAAGCAGAAAACCAAGCAGCAAATCAGGCAGGAAGCGGAAAGCAAAGTGGAAGATCAGGCAGGGGAAGGGGATCTGAGTGGCTCTTGGGGACGGCGTGGGGCTTAACTTATGGCACGTGTGCCAAAAAGGCTGCCCCACTGGTCTAAGGTATAAATCTAACCTGCCTTCTGCCTGATTTGAGACTAACATGGCTAACTAACTAACTCTCAGCACATCTCGGCTCTTGTTGTAAACTCTCAATATCATTGGGTTTTGCAGGAAGGAGACATAACAGAATACCCTAAACTATTAACTTAAATCACATATTTAAGAGAGAAATGTTGTTCTAGCCACACTGTTTAATACGTGCCAGAAAAATGCAACAGAAGATTATACAGGGTTCAAAACAGGAATAGCTGGTCTTGCCATTTCAAAATAGTTATTTGCAATTGCTGTTATCCAGCCTTTCCTCCTTGTATTGCTAACAATAAAAGTAGTGTTGTGTATGTTTAGAAGAGTATCCATGTTCCCTAAAGATGAAACCATGGAAAGTGTGCAGATTCTGCAACAATCTAGATCACCAAAAACAAGCCTACAAAGCAGCTGATGAATCAAGTCCCACCTACACTACAGGCCCCGTTTCCACCTATGAACCAGCATGGCTGTGCTCCTCTGGGACAACCCAGATCACAGGACAACGTGCAGAAGAACAGAGGACAGAGCTTTCTGACCTAAGATCTGCTATGGCACGTACTTCTGAAGGAGAACAGATGAGCCCACAATCTGACCGCCTTAACAAAAAACTACAAACCCTGTCTACTGAAGCTTTTCAACCATAGCCTGAATGGCATTTCTAGCATCAACTACTCTCTCTTTTGCTGCACTGAAAAAAAAAAAAGAACAAAAAACAAAAAAAACTTGTTGGAAACAAATTTCAACTTTCATTTCCTTTGTGCCGCCATAAACATGCCCATTGTTGCACCACAAACAGTGGCTGCAATGACAGTGGTATCAATTTGTGCCGCTACTTAGCAGCAGACACCTGCTTACTTCATGGTGGGAGAGCATGGGGAGACTGATCCTCTACACCCCAGGAATTCCTGGGCAAGATTGGGCCCCTCAAGCCCAAGGAACACCTGCCTGGCTTTCCCACTTACCAGATGCACCCCCACATTTCTGGGCTGCATCTCAGTGGAGTTTTCCCACTTACCAAAGCACACCCCAGAGATCCTGGGGATACTCTTGGTAAGCAGGGAAACCCTGGGCTTGAGGGGCCTGGTCCTGTGTGGGCATTCCCAAGGTGTGCAGGACCAGGCTGGTCAAGCCTGGGCAGAACACGTTGTCTGTTGCTCTGCAGCATCCCCAGGAGGTACAAGAGGTGATGTGTGTTTCCCCAGTGAAGCAGATCAGCTGTGCTGAGACACATCCAGAACAGCACAGCTGACATGCTTCATTTTACAACATCTATTTCTACTTGCACTGAGCCTACCACCTGAGAAAGAAAAAGAGCCAGAGATTCCAGTAAGTCCACTAGCAATCTTGCTACTGTCAGCCCCACACCACCAATATAAAACCCTACCATAATTATGAACCTTGTAATGGAGAACTGCTGATAGTCATAAGGTACATTTGAAACCAGAAAACTTTTGATTAAGCATTAGCATCCACACAGCAGACACCATTTTTATTTCTCTATTTGAGAAGCATTCTATCCATTTGATGCAATTAATTTTAGAGTGGAAGTCACACACAGTCCACCTTGGGTTACTTTTTAAGGAAAAATAGTCTAGCTGGAACCTTGACAGCCTTGCTTTCTTTATCCTTCCTAGGAAAATGACCAGCTCTAGCTGGAGTCTATACAGTCCTGGTTTGGCAGGAGATACTTCTGCAGCCTCCTAGCTGAGATGCAGCAGCGGGTGGACTGCCAGACAAACTTGAGACCACACTTAGAAATGGTATGCGATCCATCTTAAAGTCAATAGCAGAAGCATTTTCAGGTGTATTTTGAATGTGGAATATACACATCATATTGCACACAGATAAAGAAATAGTTCTGGGAAGACCATAGTTTGCCACCAGCTGTCCAGGGGCAAAGTGCCAGAAACATGCAGTTCAGTAACCTAATGTACTTATTTGTATTATTTAAAGGAAAAAATAAAAGTCAAGATAGATATAAATGTCTTCAGAGAAAACAATCCAAATTCCTTTTCATGAGAAGAAATAAGCAGCAAATATTTAAATTACCTAAAAGTTTAAGCAAACACTAGAGAATAGGAAACAAGCCAAGTTACACTAGAACAAATCGTTCTAGCTTCCCAACAGAGAGGACACTAGTTACAGTCCATTTAATTTCTATCTTTCTAGAAAAAGCAATGGATTTGATTCAATTGAAGTCAGCTTGCAGTCCATCTCTTACCTGCAATGCTGCGAACATCATCATTTCTTCTTCCGTACATTCGATTTCTTCTAAAAGAATAGCCCATTTAGATTGCTCATAAAGCTGGTTGATTCTGATTGCATCATACTACGATATAATACAAATAAACACAACACATTTATAAAACCCCCTTCAAAGGCAAGGCCCATTGCCCTGTACACATCAAGTACACATAATTTCAAAAGAGCATAAATGAGAAATTACTCTTTTTTTACAACCAAATTTAAAAGGCTTTGTCACTGAAACGACCAGGATTTCTTTACAGCAGCTCTGGCAACAATTAGAGCCCGCTCGTTTAACAGAAGGCTCATATGTAAAGGGATGCACGATATCAAGGGAAGACAACGTTTTTTGGCTGGAGTGCTAAAAAACCTCACAATGCCTACCTTGGAAGGTGCCAGAGTGTCGGCATTCCGAAAAAGACAAAATGGGGACGGGGGCACATAGCAGGATGCCCTGCTTGTGCCCTTTGTGCCCCACCCAAAGCCCCTGCTCCCCAGCCCTGCTGCCCCTTGCCCCGTAACCCAAAGGCCCTGCCCCCCAGACCTGCTGCCCCTTGCCCCCCCACCCAAAGCCCCTGCCCCTCAGCCCTGCTGCCCCTTGTCCCCCACCCAAAGCCCCTGTCCCCCAGCCTGGGCTCTGTGGCTGTCAGCAGTTACCCTGGCTCTGGGTAGCTGCTGGAGCCCAGACTGCTCCCAGCAGGGCCTGCAGTGTCCCAGCTAACTGCTAGTAGCAGCCTGGGCTCCCGGCTGGCAGCAGCTCCCCAGAGCCAGGGCCAGCTGCAGCCGGGAGGCTCCAAACAGCTCTGCTGGGCTCCAGAGCCCCAGCATCAGCTCTGTACCGGCACGTGTGCACAGCTCAGAGTGGGCAGTGGGGGAGGGGCCTGAGAAAGTGCAACCCTGGTCTCTCCCCTGCTTCGGCACAGAGCTGGTGACTGGGCTCTGGAACCTAGCACAGCTGTTTGTAGCCAGCCCGGGCCTGCAGCTGACAGGCTGCAAACAGATGTGCTGGACTCCACAGCTCTGGCATCAGCTCCATGCTGGCAGCAACTGCGTGTGCACCTCAGGGCAGACAGTAGGGCAGCGCAGCCCACCCCAAGATGTGTACACAGTGACCGTAGAGCTGATGCTGGAGCTGTGGAGCTCGGTGCAGCTGTTTGCAGCCTCCCAGCTGCAGCCGGCCGTGGCTCTGGGTAGCTGCTGCCAGCTGGGAGCCCGGGCTGCTTCCAGCAGGCAGCTGGGATGCTGCAAGCGCTGTTGGGAGCAACCCAGGCTCTGTCGCTGGCAGCAGCTATCCATAGCCGGGGCTGGCTGTGGCATGCCAAGCAAAATGGCCTTGTGTGCCATGCTCGGCACGTGTGCTGGGGGTTGCTGACCCCTGCACTATACGTTTCATTTGACACGTACAGCATTACTTCTTCAAAGCTTGGATACTTGAGTATTTATCTCTACAAATGCAGGCACTCGTTTTTAAAGTTTGGCCTTATGTGCAAGTTAAAAATAACTCTGTACCTTTGGATTCAAGTCAAAAAAGCTGTAGTATTTGAACCGAAGCAGTAAGGCCTCGTTTTCTTTCACTTCTTGCTCCATGAGAGATCTTGATGAGTCCAGCCACCTGGAAGTCATCAATGAAAACATATAGGTTCTGGCTGAATCTTTGTAATGGGTTTAAAAATGCTGTTTAAGCATTTATTATACGACTTGAACTCACCCTTGGTTGATCTTAGCTTTATCAAGAAGCGCTTGTGGCTTGTACATTTTTGCTAAGATTTCTGGGGAAGTGATTGGCTGGCTAACAGCAAGTATGCCAGGATTTCCTTCTGATAAAGCACTATCTCCAAACCAAGCTGAAGTTGGAGACAGAGGACTTCCATCGTGAGAATCGTATGTTGGCGTCATAGTTTTACTATAAAGTCCAGGGCTTGAATATATGTTTCCTAGCAGTAAGAGGAATGAACAAGTGAAGTTAGTTTACACCCTAATTCTGCATGCTTAAAAGAAAGCCAATATAGTAAGTAGATTTAAAAAAGACAGTCACGTGATTTTTTTCTAAATAGGACATTGTAATGCTTGTTTTTCTGTGAAAAGCTGATTTGATTTATCTATCCTTGAAAAACAAGACAAATGGAAAATTCACGGGAGATTAAGCCATGCGAAAATCTTCAGACACCCATGCTTTTGGGTGTGGAATATACCTTCCTGTGTTTCTTCACGCTGGACACTTGCTTTCTACTGGAGACAACACTGTAAGAACTAATCTGATGATTCAGAACTCTAAAAGTCCAAGTTCAGAGGAACAGGAAAACCAGGTAAGGAGACACCAAGAAAATCACAGAAGACAGGGCACAAAAGTCCTAAAGAGGTGGCGCTCACCTTTCACGGGGCCGATGTAAAGAACATCAGTGCCTACAGAGAAGTGAGAAGGTAAGAGAAAGACAATGAGAAAAGTCAGAAATAGAAAGGACAGAAAATGAAAAAACATGCAGAAATGCAATAACTTGGAATATCTTAATCATGTCATATTCCCGTTTGAGATGAAAGCTAGGCTGTTTAAACCATGTTCTAATGGAGCCAATTTTGACTGCCTCCTCCGTGTAACGTCAGACAGTAAAAGCAGATTTTTCTGCCTATTTACTGAACATTAAGAAATGTACCATTTTTTCCCCCAGCATGGTGTCTTGTTGCTCAGTCTTCAGACCAGACCTTAAATTAGCCTGTAATTATTCCACTGAGTCTGGTAAACATCTCAAACTCACAGGTTCTACTTGAGCAAAGTTTTCAATATTCCTTTCAAATGCTTTTTCTGGGCGTGTTGTATGGGTTGTTCTGCACAGTTCAGCTTTGTGGAGCAAATGATGAAGGCCTATTAAAGCTCTGTCTTTGCTAGCTCTCCCCAGCAGTTGGAACTCTTCCCATTGTGTGAATTTTACTGCACATTGGAACAAAGGTGAAATTTTTTGTCTTAAAAAAACAAAACGGAGAAATTGTGAATTTGGTTCACAAAGTACTTCTTTTCATAAAATGGCTTCAATTGCACGCCAAACCTATGGCATGTCTGAACTCCTTCTTGGAACTACAAACAGCTCTTATTTAACTGTGGAGATGATAACGAGTCAAAGTTTCTCAATGCCAAATGCAAGCTGCCTTGCTTCCTTACTGCACTTAATGTTGACAAGAGTCTGGCTACCCAGAAGCCAGGCAGTTCCTATTTAGTAATTTCCAAGGTACCCGAGTGTGTTCAGATAATTTCAGCTGTTGCTGAAAAGGAAGAAATATGCAGTTTTCCTCTGTTCTTGGCCTCTACCTTGACTGCCTCTTTAAAAAGTGAGGGGGGAAAAAAAACTTTACAAAATACGCAAGTCATAGTCAATGCATATTAAGTGGGGTTATTTGATTATTTCCGTTGTACAAGACCATCAATACTGAAAAAAAGCATATTACTTTAAAGCATGTAGGGCATTTTTACGTATACAAGTGCCCCAGCGCTGGGTGCTTTGACAAGCGCCTGGAGCTGCATTGCTTACAGTTGTGTAAGCGGGGAAATGTGCGTCAGTGCGCAGAAAACAGCGGCGTTTTAGTTCAGAAGTGCACCATGGCCATTTTCTCCAGGCTGATGCGCATTTCGCTTCTTATACAACGGCAAGTGATGCAGCGCAGTGCACATCAGCTCGTGTATGGGGCAGTCTTGATTAATTGAGTCTGCTCCAACGTACCAGATCTCTGGCACATCCAAGCACAAAAATGTATATGCATAAATGCCCATGGTGTCTGGTAGGTTTAAGTTCAGCTTTAAACCTGCTATGTAGCAACCTGGCTTTTCAGCTCCGTTCCAATGAGAAGTGAGAGGTGCTGAGGAAGCACCGCTTCTATTTCAGCTCTTGCATTTAAGATTCACAAAACTTTCAGAAGCACATGGAAGGGGTGCTCTCACTGCATGTTCAGGCATACTTATATCTGATAAAAATAACTTCTCTTTACTGCCATTCTGGGGAATTAAGAGTGCCAATAAGTTGGTTTCCTGGCCTTCACCAAAGCACGTAGGCCAAGTGATATCACCACTTTGGAATATGATTTATGCTGCAGTTACATTTAATGCCACACAGTGGGTTCATTCGAGAAAATCTCTCTTCAATTTAAAGAGTGACAAAATAGTAGTGTCTGACAGCACAAGTTAGGTGGCCCCAAGATTGCTTTTTTTAACGCATTATAACTCATCAAAGAACAACTGTCAGGGTACAGAAGTTACTATTTGAGTTGTGTTAAGGAAAGGAGTTTTCTGTTGTAAGATGGGGCGGGAGGAAAAAAAAGAGAAGTTGGGAAATGCAGGCAAAGTTATAAGAGAGATTAGCTGACTGTGAGAACAGTGTTCATTTGGATGGACCATTAGGTCATGACTAATACAAGCTGCTTTCCTCAGTCCCAAACCAGTTGGTCCAGAATTCATAAAATAGCCATTTCATTCGCTCCAAACACATCTGTCATTATTTCAGTATTTCTTGAATTCATCAGTATAAAGCTCCCTCTTCGGAGGACAATTATTTCTGGTTAAGCTATTTACCTGGCTCCTATGTCAAGTTCAAATGCTGTAAAATAAAGCTCATATGCTTACAAAGATCAAGCTGATTCGAAACACAAGAGGACGGAAGTGCAGCTGTTTCCTGAGACAGCTGTACATCAGCTGAAACAGCTGGGAAGGGGACTGCCACCATTCATCCCACTGAAGTACTAGCCCTAATGATCAGTGTAAAATCCAGATATTCAGCAGAGGCCCACCACTGTGCCCCTATCCTGAATAGCTGCATTGCATATGGAAATCAGTTTGCCAATGAGTCTGACACTACATTAACACAAATAAAACCATATGCTTGGGGTTTTTTTCTCTTGGCTAACAAACAGGTTTTTAACATGTTTGTGTTTCTACAGTGACAGCACTCAATCATTTCTTGAATGAGTGAGCCCTGGATTGTAAATGTCTACCTTCCTCCACAAAGGTATGGCTTAACATTGGCTCGGTGGTCGGACCCAGAGGGTAGTAGTTGATGGAAGTCAATCGTCGTGGTGCCCCATGACTAGCGGGGTCCCCCAAGGCTCTGTCCTTGGACCCATATTGTTCAACATCTTCATTAATGATGTGGACATTGGAGTCAGGAGCGGACTGGCCAAGTTCGCCGATGACACCAAACTTTGGGGCAAAGCATCCACGCCAGAAGACAGGCGGGTGATCTAGGCTGATCTGGACAGGCTCAGCAAATGGGCGGACGAGAACCTGATGGCGTTTAACACTGAAAAATGCAAGGTTCTCCACCTGGGGAAGAAAAACCTGCAGCATCCTTATAGGCTCGGCAGTGCTACGCTGGCTAGCGCTACGGAAGAAAGAGGCTTGGGGGTCATCATTAACCACAAGATGAACATGAGCCTGCAATGTGATGCTGCAGCTAGTAAAGCAACCAAAATGCTGGCTTGCATCCAAAGATGCTTCTCAAGCAAATCCCAGGATGTCCTTCTCCCCCTGTACTTGGCCTTGGTGAGGCGGCAGCTGGAGTATTGCGTCCAGTTTTGGGCTCCACAATTCAAAAAGAACGTGGAGAAGCTTGAGAGAGTCCAGAGAAGAGCCACGCACATGATCAGAGGTCAGGAAAGCAGACCTTACGGCGACAGGCTGAGAGCCATGGGGCTCTTCAGCCTGGAAAAGCGCAAACTCAGGGGTGATCCAATGACCACCTATAAGTTTATCAGGGTGACCACCAGGATCTGGGGGAACATTTGTTCACCAGAGTGCCCCAAGGGATGACGAGGTTGAACAGTCATAAACTCCTGCGAGACCATTTCAGGCTGGACATAAGGAAGAATTTCTTTACTGTCCGAGCCCCCAAGGTCTGGAACAGCCTGCCATCGGAGGTGGTTCAAGCACCTACATTGAACGCCTTCAAGAGCAAACTGGATGCTTATCTTGCCCGGATCCTATGACCCCAGCTGAGTTCCTGCCCTTTGGGCAGGGGGCTGGGCTCGATGATCTTCCAAGGTCCCTTCCAGCCCTAATGTCTATGAAATCTATGAAATATAGTGATTCTCAGTCAAGGTGTTATGGGGTGCTACGCAATACTAGCACGTTAGGTATGCAAACACCTCCACATGCTTCACAGGATAAATCCAGAGATTTCAAAGAGGCATTGATAGCATCAAAAACATTCTGACCTGTTGTGGGCCGAATACTTAGCAACAGAGGAATTATTTTTCCCCGTAGTCAAAAAATGAGTGAAAGTGAAGAGCGAGAATTTTCCAAAGGGGCCCATGAGTCTAAAAAGGTTGAGAACCGCTAGCTTAAAACTAGTCACCACTTTTCATGCCATCTTTTAAAAGTTGCTCCGTTGTGGAATGGGAGCCTAAAAAAACAGTCACTTTTACAGGGACACACTGATGCTCTAAGCACTTAAAATTTAACCAGATTTAAAGTGCAGGTGTGGTCAGAAGCATAATTGTGTAAAGCTGGTGCCAACCACTTCAACTTCAACCAATCTACTCCTGGTATTCAGTTGGATCTGCCTGAACTGTCCCACATCCCTTTAAACTATTACTGGCGGTGCTGGGGAGACAATGCTGCCAGGTCAGAGGAAGCTGTGATCTTTTCCTGCCTGCACAACTGGCAATGGAATAGATTACTGCTTTTGAGTGATGAAAAACCCATCTCTACCTTGCTCGCTTCCTCTCTCTCTCCTTGTAAATAAAGGCTGAGGATGAAGACCTCCTAGACTGCTGCAGGGAACTCTCAAGGAAACACGCCCTACAGAAAAGGACGCTGCAACGCTACGGACTTCAGAGAAATCTGCCCAATGCCGTTTATTTTAGAAAATCCCACTCTTAAGTGTCTTGAGCAACCAGCCCTCTCCTCCTCTGGAGAAAACGCTCTCCATTCTGTGCCCCGTTCTTCATACCTTTTTGTTCCCTTAATGTCTTTTTAACATGCCAAAATCTTAGGGTATACAAGGCAGTTTTTCTGTTTTAAGCTGCTGGCTTGCTGAGAGAAGGCAGGCTAGATTCGCACCTTATAGACTAACTAAATCAGAGATGCTTAAGCAGCAGCTCACTTGATCAGATGCTGAGAATGGACTGCCCCTCTCTGGTTGAGAAACACTCCACCTAAAGGGATTTACCCTGCAAGTGCAAACCATAAAATGACAAAATGCCTTTGCATTAGGATTTGAACCTTATTTGGATCAATGTGCATTCAAAACCCACCTGTTAAAACAGATCACACATTTGTTTCCATATGTAACAAAGTTAGTCCTGGGATTGCTGCCTACCTGGCCAAGTTTCTGCTTCCTGCCTCTCCAGCCCCACCAGCAGAGCTGGTACTTTTGTGCTGTACAGGGAGAAGAATGCGGGCGACAGCAGAGGATCTGGCACAA